AAGTTTCTACGCTTCAGTGATTAGACGACGAGAGAACGAAAAAAAAAAAAAGAAACATAGAAAAAGATTTAGAGCATTTGAGCATATAATAAAATATAAGGTGAATTCTGTCGAAAGATATTTGAAGCTATCGACCGAATGTTTTACGAGACAGCGCATTTGAAAGCCGGAGTTTATCATCTGTTGCTGCAGCGCCGGGTATATTTCCAGAGTATTGAGTGTAGTATTGACAGTTTAGACAGTTGTGACAGTCAGCGGAGTAGCGATAAGATAATGCAACGCCGGCAAGTCGGCCTAGATCTTAAAATACTGGATATGCGAATGTGTAATAAATTGTACGCGCGCGATTTCATACGGAGGAAAAAAAAAATAAGATAAAAATATGCGCGCGTGAAGTCTGCTATTCTATAAATACGTTTATAATTATTTCCTGGATAAACCGATGGAAAACAACACGGTGGTTAACCACTAATTACACTCTCTTGTAAAAATGCAAGAGGACCCGCGCTATAAACCATTGTTATCCTGTCATTTTAGATAATCACGAATGCATGGAAACGGAAGAATCATGAGGTACTCACTCGTTAAATAACAAGTCGCTTGTTAAACTCCAACGTCAGACGATTTAATAATTGAAACTCAAGAATATGATACTGAAATCTCGCAAGACAGGCTTGCATTAATTTTAACTTCCTTGTATTTACTTCGTTCTCTCGGTTTTCTCAGATGCGTGATAATCGTGAGATTCGCTTATCATTAATTATTATTATTTCAAAACCAAGGTGATAAACAGGTCTCAGTGTTAAAAAACAGATATCTAAAATAAAGCATAAAGGCCAAAAAGTAAATCATGCTTATTGTTAAGGTTCATGATTTTATTTAATATAGTTATTTAATATAGTTATATTTTAACAGTAACAACGTTTGCTTTTTGGCCTTTATGCTGCGTTGTTTTAGGTATTTATTATTATTTCTCTCGTAGGCAAGTGATCTCGACGTGGTCATCGGGCACAGGTGGCGCCGGAGTAATCGGCGCCGTGTCTTACGCTGGCCTCACCATGGTGCTATCCACTGAGAACACACTGCTCGTCATGCTGGCCGTGCCGCTTTTGCAAGCAATCACATTCTGGTGTGTCCTCAAACATCCGGTGCACACCAGAATCCCGATCACTAAGAACGGCATCGACAGCCAGGAGCAGATCATCAAAGTCCCCAAGAAGAGCTTCAGGGACAAGATCAATTTGGTACCCGGTTTGCTGAAGTACATGATACCACTCGGACTGGTCTATCTGTTCGAGTATTTCATTAATCAGGGCCTGGTAACAATATTTTCTATAATTTTCTATAATTTTAGCTATAAATAGCTAAAGTTATAGAAGCTGTAGCTAGAAGCTATAACTACAGCTATTTATAGCTTCTTCATCGCATATGCATCTCTAATCAGTTTATACCTTGTTTGTTACATTGTCTGTTTCTTTTTTTATTACATTGTCTGTCTATTAACATTATGTAGTTTTAACATGTCTATTTGTGCAACAGAAGAGTTCATGTTAATGAGAAATTTAGAATTAGATTTTATAAATTTTTAAGAAGGAGAGTGCAGGAGTTATCGTAGCATCGTTTGGTATTGTCCATGACATATCAGTTTTATCATTACAAATAGTTATCTGATTTGTTGTGTTGAATTAAACAAGCGTAACTTATTTGCAGTACGAGCTCATCGAATTCGATAATATTTGGCTGACACATTCTGAACAATATAGATGGCTCCAAGTGGATTATCAAATAGGTGTATTTATCTCGAGGTCGTCAGTGAATATAGTTACTATCAACAGGATTTGGATTATGTCCGTGTTACAGGTAACAACAGGAGCTTCCGGAATCAGGAAGTTGAACAAAATGACGTAAATTATATTGATTGAAAACTCGTCGTGTTTCAAACCGATTGTTCTTTTCAGTTCATTAATGTTATAATCCTCCTCTTCGAAACCATCTACTATTACATACCGAACATATGGATTGTTTTTGCCATTGTACTGTGGGAAGGTCTACTTGGCGGTGGGGCATATGTAAATACTTTTTATCGAATGTCAACCGAGGTAAAGAAGCTATTTTCTAATTTCAATAATATCGCAAACAATGCAAGTCAAATAATATGAAAAAATACTTTGAGTCTTATATAATTTAACTTGCCGTTACCAAAACGGAATGTAACAAGCTTCTAATATTCTAAAATTAGAACATTATTTTTGTAATTATTCCAAAACAAAAATAACATAAAACAATTGTATTAAAAAATTGTTAAAATGATTTAAAATTTTGACAATTTTATTGGTATAATTTAAATGCTATATTTAAACCTAATTTAACAAATATTCTAAAAATTTATTGACTTGAACTCTTAGATTATTTGGGATTTAATAAATTATATTTTGATAATTACTATATAATTTCATAATAGTTAATGCGATAAGGATTTTACTTGGCCATCTAATGATATTTCCTGTAACTAATATTAATCTGAAATCTATTATAGATACCGAGAGAGGATCGGGAAGCTTCTTTGGGAATCGCGACGATGGCAGACTCGATTGGAATCGCATTGGCTGGATGGTTGTCCATGCCTGTTCACAATGCCATTTGCAAGCTACCACAGCCGAAACGATTAGGCAGTTAAGAATGTAATGGTCTGCCTGCTATCGAGTGATAACGAAGTTTCCGCTAACGGAAATTTTCGCTTCCAAAAGTTCCTCAAGGCGTCATGCCGGCGATTAGAGGCGAAGATTCTTCTAATTTAATGTTCGCACATAGATCAAACATAAGTGCTTGATCCTGTGATTGCGAGATCGTGAAGCGATCAATGTTTCAACTTAAGCCAATTATGTAACTTTTGAGGAAAAAATAGTGAAATAGACATTCAAGATGCAGGCGACATGGTAATGAATTTTTATCGTTTATCACTTTTAATATTATTTTAAAATTAATTATTTGTTACTGGATTTTTTAAAAGATATTTTCAAAGTCACGACCGTGTCGCCCGCAGAGAGATATTTTAAGCGCTTTATAAGTTTTAATTACAATGTATTACAAACATCCGAGTTTTATTCGGTACAAATATTTAAAATACTAGGAACAGGGCATATACTGCAGTACATGTCGCATATCAAATATACATAATACGGCGACGTAGCACATGACATACGAATAACCATCTGTAATGAAAGAAATTCTTGTACCGTAGATCTATCTGTTTTATGATACCGTGCCTAAATTTTGAGAATTGTACTGTAAGTCTATTTTGTCTATAGAATATCTAAATTTTGACTTGTACTGTAGTCTTGTATAGTTTCTTCCCGATACCGTAGATATACTCTGAGATTATTATTAGCTGTTGATTTTTGTTTTCACATGTCCGGCTTACTGCGACGAAAAACGTCACGGTAAAAGATACACAAGTATTTTTCGTGCACGTTTTCGAGAACCGGTCATTCGATATTTGAAGATTATCTCAGTATTAGTAGCTACAGTAACGAATCAACCTCATCGATGAATCGGTAAGAAATAGTAATAACGCACTTGGATTATGCCTTACTTATTTGTGATTAGATTATATAAAAATTACTAGTTTTAAATACCACGTTTCTACTTTGATATATCGATTCTATTCTTATACCTTTTGATTGAGGGATTGTGATTGTAAGTATTATAGACATTTACATCGATTTTAATAAAATGAGCGGAGCCGACAAAATGACAAA